GATGCTGGAGAGTGGCGATGCTTATGGCAGGCTGTGAGAACTGCCTGTTTTTGTCTTTATTGTTTCACTAGCATCCTGATTCTTGAGGCTTTTTCTGCTCTTGTGTTTTGCTGGCAGTAGAGTTAATGGCTTTCCGTGTTTTAGTGCCTTGTGTAGCCAAGTTTGGCATTTTGGATAATGCCACCTCTTGAAATGTCAGTGTTAGGAGCTCTTGGCACTTCAATCTTGGCACGGCTGAACCTCCTAATCACAGGAAGATACATTTGCATTGTCTGTAGGGCAGCTGAATGTTTTTAGTAATTAATTGTGTGGCTTAAAGAGAAATTTCAAGGTAAACCTCCAGTGCAGCTTAATTATATTTTTAAGTGAAATTTGATTTGCAGGGTGGTTTAAATTGGATCTGCCAATTTGGACTTCAGGAATGGCTTTATGCTTGCATAAATAACAGTGGTGTGTGTTTTTTTTTTTCTTTCAACAGAGGTTGCAGAACTTGAAGCTAACTTACCTTGTAAGTATAACATTTAATGGCATGCATTTTAAGAGGATAAGAACCATTGAATGGAATGTTTTGACTGAAGGATGAATGCTAATGGTAGTTGTTAACTCTGGGGAAAGCTGTGCAAAACTCTTGCCACTCGGGCTTGAACAGGTTTTCTTTGCTCCCTCTAAGGGGAGAGGTGGACCCTTGGTAGTGTCCTTAGGAAGCAGTATTGATCTTTAGGCTCTAGAATTCAATTGCTGGTGGAGTGGGAGCTTCCCTCATAAAACGCCCAAAAGGGACCCGGAACTGAAGAGTGCACTTACTGCCTTGCTCCTACTTTTCCTTCCTTCCCCCTTTTCAAAACAAGGGATGCTGGTTTAGAGGCAGAGCAAATAGCTCGGTTCTCAGGAAACATATTTGATCAACCTAGTGCGCTTTTACTTCACACGCAGGCTGTAACCTGATGTGTGTTAATAACTGAAAAATAGTTTCATGAAAGTTGTGGGGGTTCTTTTTGTTTGTTTGTTTTTTTTAAAAAAAGTGATCCATATTCTTTAAAAAGAAAAGGCAAGAAAATGGGGGTTTAGTCCTGGAATCTTACTTGCTATGTATGTTATGCTAAAAGCTGAAAATATTAATGGTCGCTTTAAAACAGACTTTTAAAAGCACAGAGTAAATGGCTTGTTGTTTCTAAAGCTGAGGGTTGATAGTTAAAAATCAAATACATGTTTTCTGCCCTCTTAACTATAGAAAGCCCAGTTCTGTAATGGACAGCAAAACCCAAAGCCCTTTTACAAAGGGGAGTGAAGTTCCCACTGCTCTGTGTTAGTTGCTAAGGGTGGGTGTTGACGGTGAAGCTGAGTTGCAGCTAAGCCTTTCCCTTCCAGTGTTGACCAGAGCAGCATCATTCAGTCATGGAATAGAGGCAAGCACAGGAAGTCATTGCCTGGCAAGCTCAGAGGTACATTCAGAGCCTGCTGCTCGCTCTACGTAACTTTCCGTGGTGCACGTTCCTGTTTGAGAGCAACTGAAGATGTTTCCCCTGCAGGGAGAGGCGTGAGCTGCTTCCAGCAGACCCAGGGCGTACGTGTGGGTAATGACTGCTGTGCATTCACACTGTCTTGCCCATATGCTTATCTTGGAAAGAAAAGCAGTGAGTACTCTCTCAGGTTATGCTGGCAGGTAGCTCATGATGCTTCTTGCTTTTCCCCATATAGGGGAAGCTTTGACTGTATTTTTTTTGCTCACCAGGTTAAACTTCTGATGAGCATTTTTTTGCTAATGATTCCAAATCCAGATCAATGCTCAGATCTCAAATATTTTTTTCGGTTCACAGACCACATGATGGGAGGAATTATAAGGGGGAGGAATACAGAACACAAGCAGCAAAAAGGGAGGGCAGGAACGGACATCACTTAACTCTTCTTTTCTGTATGCTCTTCTTTCTTAAAGGCAATTATAGAGATGTTACACAGCAGTTTTAACTTTTGTTAAACCTTTTGTCTAGACTCTTCAATAGGATAACAAACACCAGAGGCAGATGTATGGTGTCTGTAGTTAGTACAATCTGAATGAAGTACTGGGGTTTGTGTACAGTTCTAGTTATTTTTTCAGGGAAGTAGGGTCTGTATCTGTGATACTATTTAGTTCCTTGAAACAGAAAAAGAACAGCCAGCTTGATGGATTAAGAAGCTAAAGGCTGCATAATATGGGTGATAGTGTATCCATGGATATAGGTATCTTCTAGTGCCAGCTTGTCAGCTTGTCTCGGTCATAGTCAAGAAAGGCCAGTTTTGTGCATGGGAAGGCAATTCTGTGTCACCCGGTGTGAACAACAGGCTGTTATGCTGTGAACTTGCATCTGTTGTACTGAAACCACTGACTAATTCGGTTGGATTGATGTTTGACCCTTTTTTTCCCCCTCGCACTATTACTTCATTCTCACTATTCTCCTTAAATTTATCTAGTCTGAGAAACACAGTGTTTGGTTTGTAATGATGCTGCATAACCTTTGCTGTCAATGTGTGTAATTGGTTACACAGAAGGAACGTGTTCAATATGACAGCTGAATGGAGACTTCCCTGGCTTTTGGTAAAGCTGGTATCTCATCATATCTTACAGGTGTAAATAATCCTTTGTTAGCACAGGGCTGTGGGGATGTGACTTCTTGCAGACTGCAGTGTATGATCCAATGTTAAGGTACACATGCTACTATAAAAGAACCTGTAAGGAAGAGTTGTTCATTATATATGTTGTCACCTTAACACGTGGCTTGAATATGCACAGAAGACCAAATCCTTTGGCATTTTAAGGTCTTTGAAACAGGATGGTTTGCTGAAAGGAAATGAGCTTCTTCCTCCCAGCTCAAAGAAATGACATTCCATTACTGCGGGTGACCTCTAACGCTATAGGGAAGAGGTGCATCCCTACAGAGAGACAAAGTGTAGGAGGAAATCACTTGACTGGAAGGTTGGGATTAATCAGGGGGTGAATTTGAAGAGTATGAAAGATGATATCATTGCTTTCCTGAAAGTGGAAAAAAAATCTGTCTGATATAAATTATTCTTTTGCTTCGCAGGTACATGTAAAGTGAATTTTCCTGACCCTAACAAGCTGCATTACTTTCAGCTAACTGTAATCCCAGGTAATTTTTTTCTTAAATATGTTCCTTTAGTTTGTGTGTGTTGGTGTTCAGGAAACATAATTCCAAGAGTTTGCTCAATAATTCAATAAAATTTCTAGACAAAGAAAGACTGGCTGGTAATACAGTGATTTTATAGAGGCAACAAAGACTGGGCTGGATTTTGAAATGTAGATTCCAATAAAAATGCCATCAAAATTGAGCAGGTTTAGGAAATACTCAGGTCTTGTTTGATCACCTTGAAAACACTACTTTTCTCATGGTCAGTTTCAAACCACCTTGTTTTACGTGTTGAGAAAAATCTTGAACTAGAGAAATATTTGCATTACAGCCCCATTATGTTGCAGATATATTCTTGGGATCGATATCTCCCTGTCAGCTGGTTCTTGTAGGTGCTTATTGACAGCAGTTTGGATGCTCTGTGGCAGTCATCGTGGTGTCTTACCTAGATTTATGCTTAACTGGGTGATGGGAATCTTTCTGATAATCCAGTACCTTGAAGTCAAACTGGCACTAGATGTCACTGCTGCTGCTCGTTAGCCAAAATCAAGTAGCTTGTTCTCGGCAGCAGCAATCTTGGGTGGTCTTTGTTAACATGTCCATTCATGTGACTCCTTTTTGTGATGGAAAAATGAGTAAGACAGCCCTAGTCAGTGTAATCAAAAATAAATGCAAGTGCTATTCTGGTACTTCTAACCTCAGTCTGTGGAGGAGATGTATTCGTGTTTATGTGAGGAGTGTTGGCCTGCTTGCACTACGTCCTTCAGTTTATATGATGCTGCTTTATTATATTTTGGAGAGGAGCTGACTTCACAAAGATCATCGCTATGCAAGTTAGGGATGTCTTCAATGTGAAGCAGTGATAACTTCATGCTAAGGTGTCTAAATACTTAATCCTTTTTTTGTCTGTTAACTGCTGTGCAGTGAGGTGTTGCAGTAAGAAGACAATCATTGGGTGCAGAGCGTGTTTTTTGTTTGCTTCCGTGCTGGAATGATCGTGGGAATGAGATGATCTTAATTAACATTTTGTTACTCTAAATATAGCTGCACAGCTGAAGTCTCTGCAGTTGCAGCCTGACCGAAGTAAACATCTATTTTCAGCTGTGCATAATTCAGGTACAGAATCTGGTGATCATCTACAGTTTAGCACAGCTCTCTAAAGGCATAGTATAACATATACCAAGGAAATCTTTGTAGCTTTCTGATTCCCTTCACTACTGAGATTTTGCTTTATAATAGGTCTTAGTTTTCTCTGGGGTAGCAGAGGGGCAGCTGGCTAAGTGGTCGTCATGGGATTTTTCTGGGTCAGATAAGCCAAAATCTTTGCTTGAGGCAACTCTTCTGGTACTATCTAAACAAAGATGCAGGAATCTTGACAGTCTGAGTCTTACTCCAGTTTTCTTCCTCCTGCCTGGAACTGTCTCTTGCATTGAGGAGCTGAGTTACTGCTAGAAATGGCTTCGCAAATATCTCTGCAGCTTTCCAAGTGTGGAACAGGAGCTGGGCTCAGCGCAGCGGTGGGTGCCAGGGGGTATCTAAAGCTGCCTTGCAGTTCTCGCTGCTGGGACCTGTACAGTAGGTGTGTGTAAGGCAGGGCTGGTAGTCCTGCTGGCTCACTTCTTGGGGTTCTCAGTTTGCTTCTCTGCAGTTCCAGCGATTGCATCCTTCTAGGTCAGTTCTGTTACAGGGGTGCTGGTTATTTTATATGCATATTTTGTGTTTAGGTCCTCCTATATTCTGTTTAACGTTAGAGCTTGAGTTCTGTAACCACATTTTTTAAGGAATCTTACACCAAGACACTCTGCAAGTAGCTGGCTGTATCATGAAGGTACTGACTGAACACGTTTTTTAAGAGAGATGCCTTTTGCGGTCAGCGTTCAGCCCTCGTGTTATTGACAAAGCTTGTTCTCTGGCGCTTTGTTTTATGCAGTCATTTCCAGTGTGGCTGGTCTTGAAAGGACAGTGAAAGAAGCTTCTTTTAGGTTCTCTCAAAGACTAATTTACATAAGAAAATAAACTTTGCCTCCAAGCGGAAACACTTTCAGCTCCCTTGCTCTGCACTTGTCATAATAACCTTTCTTAGTAAGTGTTTAATGTCCCAGAATTATCCTGGTGACAGTGAGTTTTAAATAAAAATGAATTCGTAGACGATCTTGATCAGGGTGACTGCTTATTACACATAAAACTTGTCCTCAAGAAATTCCAATTTCTTTGTTACAGCTTTCTGCAGCATACCATGAGTGGATATGTGGTAGCATACGCTAGAAAATGGATGAGGCTTTAGATTTTACTGCCAGAATGGACAAACTGTGTTTTCCTGAGGCAGATACTGATGGCTTTAGCTGCTGTCTGAAGCTTATTTTCCTTTGGCCGATCGTTACGCCGTTGAAAAATGCCCTTATGCCACCACTTGCGTGTCTTATTTTTGTACCAGTACTATATTGGATCAACAGCTAGGAAGGAAAAGGAGGTAGATGCTTATAAGTAAGGCAGAGTCCTGCCTGCTGTACGGATATTTGGAGCACAAAATTGGAAGCTGAAATGAAAACCTGGTAATGACCTGGGGGGAAAAAAAAAAGCCGATGAGTTTAGGTAGCTTGCATATGAAGAAAACTAAGGCAATTTTCCTGCAGTTCCCAGTCAGCTGGAGTAGTTTGGGATTAGTGTTGTTAGTTCTGTTCTTCAGGGAATTAAGAGACCCTGTTTTCTGTTTTGCATGCCATAAAATGACAAGTGTTGGTGGGCATGGCTGAGCGTTCTGACCCTGCTGATTCAAGGAGCTGCTATCAAAAGCACATCCTTTGTGGCCTGTCCTAATTATCTTGTATTTTCTTTTAAAACGATAAGATAGTTTGGTTTAGTATTTTCACAGCACTCTTGCCCGTCAAACACCTTAGAAATGCAAACTAAGATTGGAGTCAGGTTGTTGAAAACTCAAGACTGAAGTGGGAGGGATGCTGCTCTCACACAGCTTGGAGACATAAGTTTAAAGCAGTAGGAGGAAAACTGGAGCTCAGACACATTCCCTTTCTGCAAAAATCTCGTAGGTGGCCAACTTATGTGCTAAGGCTATTTCATTTGATTGTTTTATTTATAGCACTTTCCTCGCTATTAACTCTACCAGAACTCGAGTTTTTCCCACCGCTGTTACATGCCTAAAAAATGGAGTCTTTGTCCCAGTCCATATGGGTATTGTGGGACCCGCTGAAGGAAACAACCACATGGGAGAATTATTTACTTGCCTGAGATGCCGTAAGATGACTTCATTGTGAAGGCTTATCTTGCTAATGCATGGCAAGATTTCTGGCTGGGTACTGAGGCCCTCCAGAGAGATGAATTTTTAATATAAATTTGAGTGGTAATGAGTAGTATGCTTTATTGTTGCTTCAGTGAAAAGATTTACAAGCATACAGGAAGAATTTTATAAAGAAAAGGGGGGGTGAGGAAAGATGCTTTACTCTTCTAATTTGTTAAATATGTCCTTGCTTATTTTGGAACAGAACCAGTAGCGTACCTAGTACGGTTTTTGGTTAGCACTGGCGTGGACTGATGCCAAGGCAAACCTGAAACATCAAATGAGTTGTGGTGCAAGGCAGTGCTAAGTATTGAATTGTCTTTGAGGGAGACTTGATCGTGGACAATGACCTGCAAGGTGAGGTACAATGTATAAAGTGCTTTAAGTCTTCCAGACATTTCTCAGCCTTATGTAGGAACACAGAAAAATAAATAGGAAAAAATGGAGTTAACACGTGAGGAATCACAGCCTGTGGAGGTGTTAATAGGCAGTTGGGAAGTGCTTGAGTTAATCTAAACCATGTTTTTGCTAAGGAAAAGGGGTGTTCTTTCACCTGCTGGCCCCCCTGCTTCTCTTCTGCTGACACTGGTGATAAATTAACCCCTCTGCATGCCAGTTCATCTCAGTAATCCTGCAGGAAACTCTGCACTCTTCTTTGCAGCGGTGGTTTCACACAGTGGGAGAGGCTCAGCTGGGTTTGTCCTCCCCAGCCGAACTTGCCTGACTTCATCCTGTACGTCGACACTGGGAGTTTCTTCCGTGGCTGGGTGGAAGTGGAGCTATCCTGAGCTAGGCCTCTTAGGTGGGGAAGAGCAGAAAACATGAACTGCTCAGCTTCTTCCCCCATCCCATGCTTTTCTTGAGCAATGTCAGAGTGATCTTGCAGTCAAGAACCCGCGTTAATGCTCCCGCGTGCCGCAGAGCCTGCGGGCCTGGAGTTCTTGGCCTGCAGAGGGACGTGGAGTGTGGCTTTTCTCTTGCTGCTTGACTAGCAGGAATCTGACAGCCTTTTGGCAAGCTCTCCTCCCTTGGAGCCATTTTTGAATGTTTCTTTTGGGCAATTGTATTACAGTGATGAATCATCAAGTCTGAGCATTTTCTTTGGCATAAGTCACATGTAGATGCACCTATTTCATGTTAGCAGGGGTGGAATATGAAAAACTGCTGAATACTTTGCTCCGAGCCCACAGAATCAAGGAACTAGTGAAATTAAGCCAAGGAAAATAACTTTCTGCTGCTGGACTTTGTCAGCAAGCTTGACAGTGTTGGCGGTTTCTCTACTTTGCTGTTCTGGCAGCAGGCTTCGCCCTGCGCAAATACACGTGGGTGTTTCATGGGATGTGCTCATATTGGGAAGTGGTAGCTTGATAAGTGCTTGTGAGCCAGAGGGCAGCACTGTGAAAAGCTTTGAGGTACATGGCTTGCATTCTAACAAGCACTGAATTCCTGTAATGCGTTGCTTGTTTTAGTACAATCACTGAGACACCAGAGATTACTTTGACTGTGGTTTTTACAAGGAACGGTGTCATACTTGGAAATAGTGAGGTTTCCTGGCACTTGGTTAAAAAGCTGTGATAATGTGGTAGATGGTGGATGGAGTGCAGTTAGCTTTGTCCTGTAGGGTAACTAGGTGGTGTTTGAGCTGTTTGAACTCCTAGGGGATATTGGACCACTTCCCTAATCATTCCTTCCTGGAACAGTCAGTGTCTTCCTTTGAGTGTTTTCCACATTTGACAGGGAGCAATTTCATTAAGAGGGTGTTGGTATAACTCACCTTCTACATCTCATTCTTCAGAAATGGATTGCTTTACTTATTTTTTATCTCCATATATTTGAAAACAAAAGATAAATGCTCTTATCTTGCTTTATTACCCCCATAAAAATCAGTGCATGTGCATTCACTTTCTGGTAAAGCGTAGCATGCCCAAGAAGACTGCTTAATAAATCAAACACTTCAAAATTGAATTGGAGTGGGAATGGAGGATGTATTTGAAAAGCCTATGTTCTGGACAGGCTGTTAAAGTGAGATTTGCAACGGTTAAGGCTTGCAGCTTTGCATGGCAGGGTTCGGTTGGAGGCAGCTGCAGACACTACTCTGTCGGTGGGGAAGACCAGCAGTGTTCTGTTCCCATATGCTCTGCCTATGCTGCTGTTGCAGTCCAAAATTTCTGATGCTGTTCGTGTGCTGAGCCTGTCTGGTCTACACAGGCTCCTGGGAGAAGCTGGACCATGGTGTAGTTCCTAGCAACTCTTTCGCTGCTCTGCAGGCACAGGTCTTAGAGTTGCTCATGTGGTGTGCAGTTGAGTCTCAGCATTGGCAGCATGAGCTTTTACTGGCTCACTTTCCACTACAGATGAGGGTTTGCATTATTTAACAGGGTGATGCCCTCTCCTCCTCAGTAGGTCAGCTGATAAGAGATTGCAGAGGAGCCAACTGCTCTCTTGTGATTATGGCAGAGTGTGCAAGTCTCTGGCTTGTGCTGACAGTGGTGAGATTGTAGCATGGAGTGAAACCTGAGGAAGTGGATGTGCAGCACTGGTTGGCAGGAGAAAACAGACGGTTGTGCTGAACCTGTGTAGGGTCTGGGAAGGCAGCAGGTCTAGAGCAATGGTAACCAGCCTCCCTGACCTTCACGCCTTCACTGTGGGTGTACTGTGTGATGCGAAGAGCTAGAGAACTTGAGGTAGTTTGAGTCTGAGCATTCCTCAGGTGTCCCAAACCCCCACTGTGGCCTGGGCACCTGTTTCCCTCAATGAAAAAAGCTCAATAATGGCAGTGCCAGACAAACACATTTCAGATCACTTGCAAGTGTTCCAGCTTCCAAGCGCAGCAGTCTCAAGAGCTGCAGCCTATTATCCTATTATATTATCTCTGCTTAAATGCAGCTAGATATTTTCAGATTACATATTTTAAAATTTAGCCATTTTAATAATTCAGTATTGAGTCGAAGGTTGACAGAGAGGCAGGTAGATTTTACTAACTGATCTATCATCCCAAGATAATTACAGTGAAAGAGCTAACTTGCTCTTTGATTGTAGTACACTCTGAAGCATGCTCTTACACGCCATTATTCCTACTAATCATGATATGATTGCTAGCATAAGTCTAGGAAGAAGTGCTAAATCCTACTCCAGGATTTAGCATGTGTTAGCAAGTGAAGGAGGTACCCAGCTCATTCCAAGGGTGGGTGCTGTGGTACTGCAAGCCGTGTGTCTGCTGTGGGCCAGAATTTTGTTCATGTAGACATGAGAAGTTCAGTCAAAGGTTCCTCTAGGTTGGTACTGCCTGGTACTCTGGTCAGGAAGGTGGTTTTGCCTGGCTGGGACTGGTGACTCTTCTGACTTCAATCAGCTTCTGCTGTAAAGGTTTTAGGATTGAGGGAAGACTTGATGTTCACACTCTTTGGACACAGCTAATGTTACGGTGTAACCAGGTTGAGTATTTCATGATAACCCTGTGCTGTTGTTTTATCTTTGTAATGACAGATATGTTGTATTATATAGCATACATCATTTTCTCTTAACTGTTTTTTGTTGTTCGTTCTTTGCTAGATGAGGGCTACTACCAAGGTGGAAAGTTTCAGTTTGAAATTGAAGTTCCTGATGCCTACAATATGGTGGTGAGTATTTGTCATTAATCTAGTAGTTGTTACTTTAGATTTCCTTTCCAGGTAATAGGACTTCAGAGGGAACTTGGCACTGAGATTAAGAAGAGATATTCTGTCTTTTATGAAAGTATCATGGAGTTGTAGAAAAATGTTGTTGGCTTGGAATTTTTTGGAGGACATCTAAACTTCTACTCAAAGCTGGGGTAGTGTTAAGTGGGATTTGGTTGCTCTAGGTCTGGCATTTCAAAATCTCTTAGGATGTAGATTCCACCAGCTCTCTGGGCTTCTGCCTCTTTATCACTGACATCCACGAAAAGCCTGATTCCATCTCCTCTATCACCTCCCATTAGGTAGCTGTAGACAGGGTGCCCACCTTCAGCCTTCTCTTCTCCGGGCTGAACAAATGCAGGCCCCTCAACTCTCCTTGTACTGCATGTGCTCCGGTCTCATACCCATCTTGGTGGCTGTCTGCTGGGCTCTCTCCAGTTTGCCAGTATATCTGGTACTGGAGACTTCAAAATGGGACACAATATTCCAGCTGCAGTATTGTGAGTCTCAGGGAGTGGGAATAATCATTCTCTGGCTGTTCTTTTGCAGTCCAGTGTTTGTAACCAAACAGCCTCGAGTCTTCTATTGCCTCAGTGATATTATTCCTTAAAGTAACAATCAGGATTTGCAGCTCTGGCAGAGGCTGTTCAGAAGCACAGGTGAGTCGGGGCTGAGAGTCTCTTGCCTAGGCTTCCACTCTCAGCTGTTCTCTCCTGTTAATTAGTCTTGAGACCTGCATTTAATGATTACTCTCACAAAAAATCTTATATCCAAGAGAAAGAATGAAATAGGTGAACAGAAAGGAAAAGGTTTTTTTCCTTTCGTTTCTCTGGGGCCTTCAAACTGGTGCTTATAGTTCTGATATTGGACTTAGGTGCTTAATCCCTTTGAGAGCATGTGGTGGAGGACGTGGAAAGCACAGATACAGTGACAAGTGGCCTCCTTTAGTGCACTCTGACAGTTCTACTGGTTGTCTCCCAGGCTGTTTAGTTAAGTATCTTTTAAAAATAACGATTTCGATGGTCATTAAGCAAACAGCTTTTCAGAGGACCTACAAATGATTGTGGTATCTTATTGGAGATGAATAGAAAGCTCCAGGCAGTTTGGCCTTTTCAAGCCTGAGAAATGTTGATATTTCATTATTGTACTTTACTAAAATTGCGGAATCTTGCAAGGTAGTGGAGGTGCAATTACAATAAAAATAACTTCAGACATTGTTTTCAGACTTCAGCTGTCAAAAGAACAAGATTGACTCCAAAAATGGAAAACAGTTGCGACATATCTGGTTCTCAGGAATTACACCTGCCGTTCTGTGTCCCAATAGCTTGAGGCACAAGGAAACCAGACTCATTTGAGTTGCAATATGTGCATTTAGGTATATGAGTTGCAGGAAGAAGGAACTCTCACTTGCTTTTAGTTTGAATGGTTTTGATAATTTTGCTTTTGTAACTTGTTTTCAATTCTTCTGCTTTCTGTTTTCTTACATTTGGTAGCTCAGAGCTCTTCTCCGAGAGGCTGAAGAACATGTAGGGGAGGATACTAGAGAAATGTGTCAGGGAAGACCTCTGGCTTTTGTGTTCAGATGCACCAGTCTTAAATTCAGCGTTGTATATGTGTAGTAGTTGCAGTCACAGCATTCTTTCTGTACAAATATGAAGGAGGTGAAGTGGTCTGGAATGTGATAGCTTGAATTCCCAGACTGTGCTTGGAGTATGGTGCATTAACACTGCTAGTGGGGTAGAAAGGTTATGTTTGAGATTGGTGGAGTTGGGTCTGCATTCCAGAAGATGCCTTCACAAGGCTGCTAATATTCCCTTATTTATAGTTGACGAATACGTGGGACATACTCTCTATCTTCTAAAAGGTTCATACTTGTAGAGGCCTATAGCACTTCAAAGAGCTCTGAATTTTCTTCATTCTGGTTTTGATAGTTGAGTTCTTTCATAGTAATAGTATTTGAGGATTATCTGCTCAAGCTATTGTTTTTGTGTTGAGTATCCTGGCTGTCTTTATTGATAATACTATCTAAAACACGTGCATGTACTTACAGTGTTCACATTATATGGTTGTGGTTGTGTTTAAGTTAGTTTTAACCTCACCAGAGAATTTCATACTACAATACAGGCCACTCTCACTTGCATGTGCCAGGTTATACACACTCTGTCAAGACATAGATGGTTGTTTAAGGTTGATTACATCCTTCTTCTAACTTGAGTGAATTGTGCTATCGCATACCTGCGAAACATGGCCTTCGGTATAAAGGGGGAAACACTGTTGTGGTCTCCACTGTCTATTTTGTTGCCTTCAGTAATAACAGTATAACCGCTGTGGAAACGCTGGGACAGGTGAACATACACAATATATACTCATTTTAACTTCTTAACTTTTTGTGTTTGAGTCAACTGTCTGAACTGTTTCTGGCTGCCCCTCACCCCCCCCCTCCCCCCCAGCTTGCAATGAGAAAGTTTGGAACACAGCTGCAGTATCAAAGCTGAAAAAAGACCTTGAATTTGGTGCAAGCACTCCCCAGCACCAACTTAAAAAAACCCCACCATATCAGTACTGTTTTCAGGGAAAATCCAAAAAACAGAGCTTCATACCAGCCACTGTGAAGAAAATTAACTGTCCTGACTAAATCCAGTGCAGATGTTCACCTAAACAATGCTGCTGTGGGAAAGCATTTGCTGTGTGTTAGCAGGAGAGCTGAATGTTAATTCTGATCTGGGTTTTTTTTTGATTCTCAATTGCTATAATTTAAAAAAAAAAAAATCTTCTAGTTTGTTATGGTTCCCTGCTCAGCACTGGCAGAAAATCTACAGCAAATGTTAATTAGATATTTTTAAATTCTGAACACCTCTTATTCAATACAAAAGTAAAAAAAGTTGCCTTTGTGCAATTTAGAAAAAGATGCAGTAGGTTGAATGTTGTTCAGGTTGTTAATGAAAATGTGTATGTTCACAAATACAGAGATAATTGTGCTGAAGCCAACTTGTGTGGTGTGTGGGTTTGTTTTTCTTTTTTTTTCTTGCCAGGCAGAATAAGAGTGAAACAAGTGATAGCAGTGTTTTTGATAGAGCTCTTCAGACCTGCCAAGTGCTCTTTTCCTGCACTCTGATGGGCTGCATTTCACTCTGTGCTTTACAGAAAGGCTGAAGGCAGGTGGGAGAGCTCACCATGGGCTTTCCTAAAGCTGTGTCTTTCCCAAAACCAAGAACTCTTCCGAGTGCTGCAGTCATGCATTGGCTAGTCCAACAATACTGCATTTTCCTTGTTGCTGATTTAATACTGTGATTGAGCACGTATTGGTGTTGATTGTGCTGAACCAAGCAAGAATTGACTGGAATGGACCTGATGGTATCTGGGCTGGAAGTGATCTCCCTTCCACGCTGCTGCTCTGCAAAGGCAACACCAAAGAAGTTGCATGCCCCAGTAGTCTTTGAGTTGGCTCAGTTAGTACGCTTGCTGCTGTCAGCTTAACGTTTTAATATTTGCTCTCTCTAGTCTTCCATTAAACTTCTTTCTGCCTGATTAAGGCAGGCCTGGGGCCTTTGTCTTTTTTTTCTTTTTCAGTGTGAAACTACTACAAATTTCTTAACACTCTAAGTTATTGCTTACTCTTTAAACTGCTATGTTAGAAATGAGGCCAGAATGAGGAATTCTGTTCATCCTGTTTCTGTGGCATGAGCAGTCAGGTGATACTTCCTGCGGCCCTAATAACGCGCTCACACTCCCGAGGACACAAGCATATAAACATGATCCTGAATGGAAAGGCCTCTGCTTTTGAGGGACAGTTGGAGTAAAAAAATAATCCCAAAAGGACTACTTCATAGAATCACAGAAGGGTTTGGGTTGGAAGGGCCCTCAAAGCCCATCCAGTTCCAACCCCCCTGCCATGGGCAGGGACCCCTTCCACTAGACCAGGTTGCTCCAAGCCTCATCCAGCCTGGCCTTGAACACTTCCAGGGATGGGGCATCCACAGCTTCTCTGGGCAACCTGTTCCAGTGCCTCACCACCCCCTCCGTGAAGAACTTCTTCCTGATACCTAATCTAAATCTCCCTGCTTTCAATTTAAACCCGTTACCCCTTGTCATGTCACTACAGGCCCTTGTAAAAAGTCCCTCCCAGCTTCCTTGTAGCCCCTTCAGGTATTGGAAGGCTGCAGTAAGGTCTCCCTGGAGCCTCTTCTCCAGACTGAAGAAGCCCAGTTCTCTCAGCCTTTCCTCACAGGAGAGGTACTCCAGCCCTCTGATCATCTTTGTGGCCCTATGTTCCATACATGCCCCAAAAATCCCTTCTAAATGGAATTTGTGCACCTTGGATCTGTTCCTTCTGTAAGTGCCGGGTTCAGGCTGGCTGCTGCTTTGGAGCCTTGGGAAAACCTGGCATTGTGTCTGCATAATCCTCTGCTCAGATCCCATCTCTTTCACACCCAAGACTTTCTTGATGATTTTTAATTTTATTGTTTTAGGGGCATGCCATAGTTGGGACCAGTAGGCTTGAGCTTTTGATGTGTTCTGGGCTCAGGGTAGTTCTTCCTGTAAATATTGTCCATATTCTGAGTAGGGAAAAAAAAAAAATCTTCCTGAGAGGCCTCTTTTCCTCTAAAGTTGGAGCTAATTTATGTGGAAAGATACAATAGAGAGAAAGGTTAGGGTATTGATATTCAACTTCCAAGTTGTTTTAGGGCTTTAAAAGTATTTAGAAGATCAGCACTTAATTTTGTCTGTTACCTGTTCTGAACTGCTTTTAAAAATTTCATTTTTAAAATGAAATGCTTCTTCTCTAACGATAACTGCAAAGGTGCTAAAAGAAATGTCAATATCTGCTAGTATATGAGGGCTACCTCCTGACCCCAACAAAGAACGTGGGATGTACATGCTCCACAGTTCAAAACACTTCATATTTCATGGTGTTTGGGAAGGGAAATGGCTGATCCCTGCTTGTATATCCATATGTGAACAAAACTGCCCTTAGTACATTGCATACTGTCCCACTGCACTGCGCTTTATATCCTTAGCAGGTGTAGAGTGAGGGAAAGACTCTGTAACAATTAGATTACTTAGCCCACAACCTGTGGACTGTTCTTCCTTGGTGGTGATGGGATACTGTGTCAGAGCAGAAAACAATTGGTACTGCTACAGATGTTGCAGAGGGATCAGGAGAAGAAAACTGGAGCAGGTTTAGGTAATTCTGTAGTCTCTTGTTAAACTACCAGGCCATTAGAAATACTAAAATATATTGGTAAACATGTCACTTGGTGTATTAAAGTATTAGTCTTGTTAGGAAACAGCCTGCACATTCATGAGCTTTTGGGTAAAGCAAACAGAAGTTTGTTAGTGTGTGTGCTTACAAAACCTGCCAGGAATGTTGCTGTCCACAGAAGCATCAGAGGAAGCTGTGAAACAGCAAGCGAAACATTTAACGATGTGCACAGCAAATGCCTTTAGCGCTACGTGCTGCTGCTTGACCCCTGTCTCTGCAGCATCTGCTCCCCAAGCGCTGCTTCTTTGGTTGACCAGCTGCCCAGAAATAGAGGACAGGGAGAGGCAGGCAAATGTTGTGGGTTGTTTTCTTTTTAAAAAAAACCCAAAATCCAATGACTGAGGGATTGATTTAAAAAAAAAAAAACAAAACAACAAAAAACCCCAAACCATTGCTGACAATAACAAAAACCGCACAAGCTCTCTTCTGCCTTGGGGTGCAGCTGATGAGATAACGGGTGCTACAAGACTGGGGACCTAGTGCTTTAAGGACTGGAACCTGATTAATAGTACAGATCTGGTTTGATGTTTGCATAAAACTTAACTGTCTGCCACTGCAGAGCCGCATTTGCAGCTCCCCCGGTTCTGATATACGGTGTTGTCAGACAGTCTTAGGGACTCTTGAGTTTACTGATATTTTTGACATGAGGTGCCTTAGGCAGTGGTCAAAAGCTGGAAATTTAATGGCAGAGTTGCTAATCTGGGCCCTTTCTTTTGGCCCATGTGTTAGTTGTGGAAAACCAGCACACAATTGAAAAGGATTTGGTTCCTGACAGATCAGATGTCACAACTGAGGGGGCTTCCATGTATGTCCATATGTGACGCTACTTTATACAGGTCTTGTATTGGAGCTGACGAAATGGGAATTGGGCTCATGCTCCATCATGCTTCCACATGAAGTTTTGAGGTGGTGCAGGGAAGTTCGGGGACCCAGGTGCACATGTTAGGCAGTTCTTGTGTTGAGGCCTGCTTCATACTGTAAGGCAGCTCCTCTTCCACTTGTTGAGCTGAGTAATCAATGGAAAGCACAGGGCAGCGTGGCTTTGTTTTGCTCGACTCGTTTCTCTGTACCATGTGCTTAGCTGTGTTCAGTTTCAGCTGATTTCAAAGTTCTTCAGGGACTGATAGGGGAGAGTGGCAAGAAACACCTTGGGGCTAGCTCGTAGCTTGGTCTCTGGAATCTGTATTCCTGTTACTACCCCTTGAGGAATTATGCTTTGTAGAAACTATAAAGAAAAACTGGAGTCGTAGTTGCAGGGCAGTTTGTAAGAATGCTTTGGGATTATCTGGAGTCTAGAGAAAATATTTCAAATAACATTGGTTGCCCATTTCTGCTGGAAACCCCATCCCTTAGGGGAATGGTCTGTGAAGTGAAAAACTACAGTCACAGGATAGATAAAATGTGTAGTAGTGCACCTGTCACATTAGTGATTGGCTTGCCAAATTGATCAAGATCTGAAACTGAGGTCTAAGTTTGTTTATGGATTAGTGCTTTACATCAAATCTCTCATTTGGTGACAATAATGGAGGGGAGAATATTGGCTGCTTTTAAAGAAATGAAACAACCTTGGTCTGCCAAACGTCTACCGAAACTGAAGTCAGTATTCATGTAGTTCTCAAATGCTTGCCACGCTCTCTTGTGCCATCTGTGCATGTTCTCAGGATGTTGAGGTGGACTGAGAATGGTCATGAAAGTCAGACAATTTCCACTATCAAAAGTATTGAGAGATCCTAAAAGATGGCTGGCTGCTTAGAAACAGAGACGAAAATCAATCCGGTCGTTGTTGTGACCCCCAGTTGAGGTGGGATCTACCTGTGCAGTTTTCGGCGTCTGAGGTGAAGGATGAGTTTGAGCAATGAAGTAGAGGGGGTTTGTAAGCTTTGTCGTGCCGACTGTTGCATATGTGACCTGGAAATGGTTGGAGATATTCAAGCGCAACGTCTCAAGGAAAACTTGTGTGGGTTTGTTAGGCTGAGGGCGACTCAAGGATGGCTTTGGATGAGCTCAAAGGAGAAGTTTGGTCTGAAGATGAATTTTATGATGGTGCTGCAGTTGTCCTGTCAATCTAAGAGAATAAGGAGAGAAAGAGAAAACCCTTTGTCTTACTGTCAGGAGTGGTTTTTTTTTTCTAATTTCTAGCAATGAACACCACTGCTGAAGGGGTAAAGGAATTCTTTTGTTTTCATGATAGGAAAAAATGAGGCATCAGTTAATTCAGTCTGAATGGCTCTGAGGATTTGGGGACTTTTTTAAAAAAGGATTGAGTTTTAGATAAAGCTTACTTTTTTTTTTTCCTACTTATCACTACAATTCCCAGCTTGAAGGTGCATATGGTAGAAATTTACTCTTTTATCTTAATCTACTGGCATGGAATAAATATTGCTGCTTTCCTTTTCTTGAGAACTAGACGTAATCTTTCAAAAAACCGTGAAGGTGTAGCTAATGAAAAGCTGTGCTGTTAGAAGACTACTTGGAAGGATATTTGCTTTAAAGGGAAGAAGTTCGGGGCTGTTTTCTGCATGCTGTTTCATTTTTAATAATGCTGTGATCCAGCACTGGCCCAGTCAGTGTCCCTGGAGTTACTGGGCAAACATGAAATGAGTGGAAAAAAGTCAACATCTACATTATAAACTGCGGATTTGTTGTGGTGATAGGTGTTTCTTTCCGTGCTGGACAGGTGTGTTATTGGTAGCTCAGTACCTTGCATGTTTCCTTATCTCTTCTCCGTGGAGTCATAGTTAAAAAGGTATTTTCCTAAGAAGATAATTGGGAAGTTGAGGGCAACGTGATGAGACACAACACATCACGCTGCTGTGCAAATACAGCTCTTTGAGCTATTTTGTCTCTGGCCCGCAGACTTCATGGGATGCTGAGGAGGAGAACAGCCCCACATCTATAATACGTGATTTAATTGAAGCTATGAAAGGTACTGGTCTGTGCTGATGTATTCCAGTACACTTGCTATAAGGAGTCATCGGCTTGACTGAAAGCTGCAAATCGTAATTTGGAGAGCATGGATGGAACAACGTGCTGTTGCTAAGCTACAGGAATTTTTATGACCCACTCTTTATTTACTTCACAAAACGAGAGCAAGCGAGACTGTATTTTAAGAATCTGTATTTCAAAACCCACTTTGGAATTCAGAAATCTGATCTTGCCTGAAAATAAGTTTGGCTTTTAATGTTGATGTCTTAAGTTCAGATATGACGCACCTTCTTGATGCTTCTTGTGATACTTCCTATTCAATTGTGAACAGGAAGGTCTGCATTTAGAAGAAGCTGTTCTTTTGACGTAATTATTACCGTTGCATCCTTTGCTGGTTTTTAACAAACCCCTGACTTGGATGAGCCTTGGGGGAAACCACTTAGTAGTTTTCCGGTTTAAATTATCTTACTGGTTACGTGGTAAGAAATGGAATGACGTGGATTGTTTTCTTCCCCTTGAAGTAGACAGAAGAGTAAGTTTTCTTCTTTAAAGTCATCTTTTTCTAAGAAAAAGCCTAATACCAGCCCAGCTTTTATAAAGAGAAACTAAAAGGGCAGAGAAAGCTCGTGTAGGTTCTATTGTCGGGGTCTTTAACGGTACAAACATGGGCTGTGAATATCAAATATATTTGCCTTTTTCAGTTCTGTGACTTGGAACAGCAATACAGTTTTATTTCAAAGGATAACATCGTTACTTGTTTTCTCTCCTGGCAGCCTCCAAAGGTAAAATGCTTGACAAGAATCTGGCATCCGAACATTACGGAGACGGGAGAAATCTGCCTGAGGTAGCAATAGCATTCTGCTTTTTTACCTTTCAGATTTTTCTGGGTGATAAAACATTGTATGTAATTTCCATGTCAGTATTTTCTACAACAGATTCTGTAGATCAGTGACATGTGACCCTTAGGAACTCAGAAGTCTACTGAAAGTATTGTTCTTGCTGTGTGTTAGAGACCATCTAGAGCCCAGTTATTCAGATTCAGACATAAAGCTTTGTTCTACTTCAGGTAAAAATGTAAACTCTAACCTGAAGGAAGCCTAGGTGTGTTGTGGTGGGTTTTTTTCCTCTTTGTATAAATAATCTTCAGGCCCTGAGAGGGCTTAAGGCTTTACTTGTTTAATGTCTGGATGTATTAAGTGCTTGAAAACCATTTATTTCAAAAAGGAAAGGAAAGTGTTCCTTTAAACTCTGACAGTAGCTATTCGATATTTGTCACTTGCTTATTTTAACATTTAGTATCCACTATAAGGCACATGTGTCCTTTATAACAAAACAGACTTGGGGGACTGTAAGTCAAAATACAATGCCCAAAAGCTTTACTTCACCGAAGCGACAGGCTTATGTTGCTGGGTGGTTTTGCTTGATGGTAAATGTTTCCTCTTTAAAATCAGTTTCTGAAACTTCGGGATGTCAGTGTTTCATCCTGAGTACCTGATGGTGAAATTGGCCAGAAACCAAACATAAACAGCATTGAGGAGCAGCACTGTCATTTTTCAAGTTAATGGGGCAGAAAAGAAAAAGTAGATGAAGCGGAAGCAGTGATTATAAGTGAGATTGAAAGCTGTTCTGAAAATCCAAAACAGTTGCCACCATGTATAGCAAATTGGTGCTTAAAAAAAAAAAAAAAGGCAGCTAAATTTTTCCTCTGGTTTTAAAAATCGTTTTAATGCTGTGTTCAAGGCCCTGGTGAAAAAAGTTTTCCTTGGGGTGGTCTGTCGCCCTTCCGGGCAGGTCAGGCTCATTGGCTGATAACATCTAAAGAGCTGATAGCGGGCTTTGGACCGCAGTGGTCTGCTCCGTGCTTCCGAGAGGCTGGTATCATCAAAGGCTGATAGAAACCAGCCTCGGGAGTCTGTAGTGTGTTCCTGGTGTTCCATAGCGCCAGGCTGCAGCAGGATTCCGGGCAGCGAGGGCTGGCATCCGTAGACTTCACCTCCCCTTGGGATTGAAGGATCTAAAAGCAGTGACAAACGTACTAAATCTTCTGAGATTATGTATAAATCTGGTTGTCCGCAGTTATTTGGAGCTGTGTGCTGGTGATACGGGAAGGTTGTTTTGGCAAATAACGTATTACTGCTTTTAGCAAATGTGCCAGACCTGTGGTGTTTCTCAGTGCCTCTAGGGCTCTGTGACATTCCATGCAGCTGAACTTGTCACTTGTCAGTAGGGAAGGCTGCTGGAAGGATCATGTTTTCACAGTTTAAATTCTACCAGAGTCCTTGTGGCTTAGGCAGTGGAGAAAGACTCTTGGAGTCAATTCGTGCAAGTAAATGAATGAAGAGTGGAGCTGTTTGGAACCAGGGAACAAGAAATACTGGGCACCAAATGTTAACTAAAAATTTTTAGCTACAGTGCAACATACTGAGGTTAAATAAAGCCTTCTCATATTCTTGAGGATAATTCACTGTTTCTTGTCTTTAAATGGTTTTAATTATAAAAGATGACTGTGGTGTTGGAACATCAAAATTCTACTTAGGGAAGTAATTTTTTTTTTAATCATTTGCATTGAAACACCAGCTTTATTTGATTGTCAGATACTTTAACATATCAAACCTTTGAAATGTCTTACCCTTTAGATAGAAAAACTAAAATAACTTAGATGGCTGTGCCTGTTATAATGGAGAATGTGCTCTATATATAGTACTGGCAATCAACTCACACAAGGCTCTCTACATTAAAATAGCTTTAGGTATTTTTAAAAGCAGAAAAAAATTCTTATCAGCATTTTTCCCAACTGCCTCTCACTAGATGCAAAACATCAAGATACTTAGAGAGGATATGCCTGCTTGTTACATACACCAGCAGACGACTTTCTTGACAACGTGTAATGCCTGTCACTCTCTCCCTCAGCTATTGATGTGATCTGTGCTGAAGGTGGTTTTTCTCCTACCTGACTGCATAAGGTTTTACAATAGTTTAATCACGCAGCAATTTCACTGCTTTTCTGCTACATTGGTGAGGTGGTCAGTCAGCAGTAGGTGGTGTTAGTTCGGGTTTGGCTGCTTCACGATGCACTGTTAAAGGGTGCTGAATGGAAAAGTCTTTGAGGAGTGATTAATTGTATCATCTAGTATAGCTCAGTGTTGCCATTTCAAAAGCTGATTACATTGATTGCTTGCCTCTGTTCCCCAGTGCTGTCCCCAGTCTCCCCAGCTGTGCCAGTGTGGAAACCAAAAGCTCTTAGACTTTCTCCACCAATTTCTCCACTGGCCCAGTGGCATCCAGAATGGTTGCACGGGTGGTGCCGAGTTGAGCGGGGAGGTGGGTAGCGTGTGGTGAGCAAGAGAATAACCCCCCGTAATGTGCCCCTGTCAACAGGGGGCTTCTGAAGTGGATTTACAACGGTTTGATTCAAACTTCCCTCGGATGATACTTTCTGTTGGCAAAAGGAAGGCAGGAGTTCTGTTGGAACTGATGCTTTATGTTGATAAATGTGTTCATCTGAGATCTTTACGTGAAGCAGATTTTCTCCTGGACTGATCTCCCTGTTACAGTAATTCGTGTCACTTAAGCTGTAAATCATATCAGCTGGAGTTTCAGAAAGCTTTATGCTTGTTAGAGCCGTGCGGTTCCCAGTTTAGTAGATGTTATTGCAAGGGTGTTTTTAGGATGCTGTGTATTTAAAAAATAAAAAATTCCTCAAAGCTTCTCTCCATGCAGGAATTACTCACAGAATGAGAAGGTATTTGTGGAAACAAAAGCTGAGCAGATGGCTGGTCACATCAGTGCCTGTTTTGGTTACTATAGCTTCAAAAATAGTGATTTTCACAGTCTTCCCATAGGAACTTGGATATGAGGATTTGAAATCATGTTCTGGGAGGCCTCATTAGATACAAATACCAGATGTTAAGGTGCAGTTATCAGTTCCATCCCCCTGTAACTGAGCACATGCTTAGCTTTTCTCAGACCCAGCTACAGCTGAAGACAAAGCAAAGGGAAATAGTGTTTTCCTGTCCTTCCCCGTTCCTGGTGAAGTACCCCATGTCACAAACCCCTGCTTGTGCCATGGCACTCCCTCTGCTGTCAGCCCTGCTGCTTCTTCCCCAAGGCATGCACTCACTCACCAGCTTTAGTACGCTTGAAATGCTGCAAAAATTGTACAGTTGGTTTACCACTCTCTTTACTTTTGCAAATTAATTCTCAAGTATCACAAGGGAAGCTTCTGAATGTTTATTCAGACTGATACTAGGTGAGTTTTCTGGCATTTCTGTATGAGACAGCAAAGTCCTGGCAATTTTAGAATAGTCACTTCAATTAAACAAATTTTTGAGCCTGTCAGGTGTCCTAAAACCTTGGTAGAACTGGTGGCTTTTGGTTTATCTGGCAGCTGGTCAAAGGCAGCCTCTTGAAGCATTGAGTGTGCGAGGAAAACTCCGCCTGTTGTGCCATTTGAGAAATTCCTAGTAGCCCAGCTTCCCTATGGCAGCAGGGCCCATGGATAACAGGTCTTTGAACAGAAGCTCCATGCAGATGGCTTGTTCATCCACTGAGCTATATATTTTATGTATTTCTACTCATTTGGGTGTTCAGTTTGCTGTTTGTGTGTATGGTGCTCTGACAGCAGGTCACCGTTCAGACCTCCCAGCCATCTGGCAGTTATATTTAGGTCATCCCCAAGGAAAGCACAAGATGCGGCTTCTCTAGACACCCTGTGCTGGGCAAGGGTTTTGATTAGGGGCCTAATGAACATTTCCAATCTGTAGGAAGCAAGAGGATGCTGCTCTAAAAATGAATTCTATCAACAAGTGAGAAATATGAGGTAAAGGTACACTTAACTACATTGCATTTCTGACAGAGCTTTGAGGGGTATGAGTGTCTTCTTTCAAATCCTGGCTGCTGATTTCCACAGCTGGGGATATGCTGAGAGAGAGCTCTGAGGCTTTGGGAACCTGGAAGGGTATTAATGAGGCTTAGCTGATATGCTCAGGCACTTTGAGCTTGATCAGTGGATATTCTTCTGCTTTTTTTGGTGTGTGTTAACTTACTCCTCACCCTCCAGTTCAGTCAGCTCTATGAAGAGATAAAGGGGAATATTGTAGCAAAGTTTTATGAGGAACAGATAGAAAGGAAACTAAAAAGTCCATTCTCTGCTCAAAACCTGAAAATCCTGGCTCTTGCCTGTTCAGCATTTTTGCTTTTACTTTTGTAATACGCACCAAAATTGCAGCCACAAGATGCTATTTTTAATGTTCTTGAAATTAGTTTTGAGCTGCACTAGTGGTAATGGCATATTTTATCTTTTTTAAAGGCACAGAAATGAGATTAGTGGCACAGTTAAGATGGAACAGGCTTGTCCAGTATGATCATCCTAGTGTCTCTACAGAGAACAAGGAGTAATGCTAGTTGTAGTGTATTTCCTTGGTTTAAAAACTCGGTGCATTCAATAAATAACTGTATGGATAGCCTGTATGGTCCAGTCATTTACTGTAGTTTAATCTGCTGTAGTTTAAACATGACTTAATACACGTCATCTGAAAGTTGGTAAAACCTAATAGTTGAGGATTATTTCACTTTACTACTGGAATGATGGGGTTAAAAACTGCTGCTGGCGGTGAATTTTTGTGCTTTGTTCCTTTGCTGTATGACTTTTCAGTTTCAGATTGCCTCTTAGCAGAGGAAGATGTGATTGTGAAATCATGCTTCAAGGAGTTTTACAGACTTCTCCTTTGTCATTTAGATTTTTTAGCTTTGTTCTCACAAATGTGAGAAAGACTTAAGCTCATTTCGCAATTATGCTATGTATTGTAGTCCATAATGAACTTTTTCTTCCTGTAAGTTGTCTGTTGTGATTTCCGGTTGGGGATATATGATGCTGTTTGCAATGTAGCTCACCTGCTGTAGGACCCTGCCACTGGGCGTGCTGTATCCGTGGAGCCTTGAGATGTGTCTGCTCACGTTATGGCTGTTGCAGAACCTACCTGAGCAGGCAGACCAAAATTATTTCACTTTCCTATCCCTGCCTCTAAGATGCTGAATTCCTTTCACAGAAGAGAGGGTGATAATTCTCTTTCTTGCTAATTAGATATCCCACCAAAAATACCCTTTTTTGGATTGTCTTGTGCCAGGTTTGGTGAGAAGGTGGGTCATTCTGTAAGCCTGTCCCATTCACCAGCGATGAACATGTTATAAACTAGAGCACACGTGCCTGTGCTCAGGGGAAAATCAAGGCTCAGTGTTGAGACTGTGTCTTAAGGATTTCTGTCACATTTATGTTGCTTGATGAAAATAACTTGGTGTTTTGACAAAGGGTGAGTTCAGATGGGGAGATGTGTAACGACACTAGAATGTAATTCTAGGAAGACATACCAATTCTTGTGCTTTAAAGTCCCAGTACCCTCGACATAGTGCAACAGGAAATTCTTACATTGCAATTACTACTTAAGTTCATAATGTTTTCTGAGATTTCTGACAAAGGTTCTTTAACTAGAAGTTGCACTGTGTAATATGTGTGTCTTTTTTCCAGTTTATTGAGAGAACATTCAATTGATGGCACTGGCTGGGCTCCAACTAGAACATTAAAGGTACTATTTCCTTTTAGATACGTGCATTGAACTAGATACATCTTTTAAAATACTTTTATGGGCTTGGAAAGAGACAGATAATGTGGCTTGCCCTGGAAAAAAAACTTGAGTTTTTTGTCTTGCAGCAAGTGTTGATGGCAATACTGAATCAACAAGTACAATGCTAACTGATTGTAGAAATGTCTGCTGGTTTTAGCATAGGTGCTCAAATACTGCTTTGACTGGTAAAAGGTTTTGTAGAATGGTATGACTGTAGGTCACCCTGAGAAATCGTGCTTGGTAAGGGTGGTCTGCTTTTTCTTTAGGCAGGCAACAAATAGAGCGTGGTGTGAGCAGGACTAACAGTAATCCATAACCCTTATTTCCATTGTATTAAAAAACTCTCTCCCCTAGTTTCTCTGAGTCAACTTGGAAATAGTGGAAGGCAAGTTGCATTTGAAAGAAATGCCATGTGGAGCATCAGAGTGTGTAGTTACTGCCCTTTCTTGAATTCTGTTTCATCCCCAGTGTTCGAAGCAGGGAGCAGCACATCTGCACTCAGGTGCTGCGTAAAGCAGGGTGCTCTTGGCTGCTGTAGTTCCTCCAGCAGGGAACTAACTGCCTCTGCCCTTTAACTTTGCCTCAAATGTCACTTTAGCCGAGTCACTAGAAATGTGTCATCTGGCCCCTGTCGCTGCAGAATGACTTTGGAGGTTGGTCACACCACAGATGGGCAGTGTTAGCAAACTCGTAGTTCCTGTGTGAAATACTCCTAGAGAAGCTGTCACAAAGACACGTGCTTCAGCGCAGTGACTGCTCTTGTCTCGCCGTGAGAAGCGGTCACTTGTCTGCTCACTGTTACATGACTTTGTGGCCAGAAGAGCCTCGCACAGCACTGAGCAATAATTTCCCTTTGCTTTTACCAGGAACCCTGCCAGAATGGGTTGTTAAAGAACATTAGCTACATTAGGTAGATAAAAAGTACATGTCAGGTGCTTGTTTCTTTTCAAAAGGCAAATTGAAAATGAGTTTTATCTAATACTTGATTTCCTTTTTGGCACTGTGAATGAGATCTGTGACTTTCTTCATCTGTAAAATCTCTTCACGAGCATCTGATGTTCTGGAAAGAGAAACAGAATCTGTGTGGTATTATGTGGGTTTTCTTAAACACTTTCCTTTTTTTTTTTTTCCCATCAGCTAGTATGGTTTTGTTTTGCACTTGTTTCTGTTTTCATATTCGGTTAAATCAAGAAACTGGGTAACTGGTTCTATTCCTGTCCCTATTTCATTCCCAGAGAAAGTTTTTTGGACAACAAGTTTTAGGCTTCAGCCATTAGAAAGTTAGTACACAGATGTTGCAACTGTACAAGAATGTACGTATTTTTATCTCCTCTCCTAGCTTTGTTCATGGTATCTATCTTACAGCGATTAAAATGCTGCTGCATTGTTAAGACTGGGGGTGGGAATAACTGCTGGCACAAGGTGTGCTTAACTTCCTGTACTCAGTGATGAGGAAGACATGTATTAATCTTTTCCATTTTATTCTTTGTCAGTTTGCTAATTGCATGTGATTAATTTCACAGAATGGTTTGGCTTGGAAGGGACCTTAAAGACCATCTAGTTCCAAGCCCCCTGCCATGGGCAGGGACACCTTCCACTAGACCAGGTTGCTCCAAGCCTCATCCAGCCTGGCCTTGAACACTTCCAGGGATGGGGCATCCATGGCTTCATGGGGCAACCTGTTTCAGGGCCTCACCACCCCCTCCAGGAAGAATTTCTTCCTGATATCCAATATAAACATCCCCACTTTCAATTTAAACCCGTTATGCCTTGTCCTGTCACTACAGGCTCTTGTAAAAAGTCCCTCTTCCCAGCTTTCTTGTAGCCCCTTCAGGCCCTGGAAGGTGCTATAAGGTCTCCCTGGAGCTTTCTCTTCCAGGCTGAACAAGCCCAACTCTCCCAGCCTGTCCCCATAACAGAGGTGCTCCAGCCCTTGGAGCATCTTTGTGGCCT